ATATGTGTGCTGTGTCTAATTATGTATATATAAATACACACACATGCATGTATATATTTCAGAAAAATGTTGTTTATATATAAAATATATTTATTTATATTAAATTATATGAATATAAACATAGACATGTAAATATTTTCAAAATATATACTGTATGTGTGTGGATTTATATATATACATAATAAATATACACAGAACACATATATTATGCAAACAAAAACTTTTATTTTGTATGCGATTAATCGCGATTAATCGTTTGACAGCACTAATAAATATAATTTATTTTATTGAATATAATATTTCTCTGTCACACTAGCCATCTGGTCTGAGCGGTCCTCGTCGTTCAGGTCAGGGTCAGCGCGGGAAGGAGCCGCGGAAGATCATCGCGAGTGTTTCCCTCACCGAAGACGTGCAGCTGAATAAAGCAGAGAAGGCCTGGAAACCGATGGTCAAGCGCAGCGGCCGCGCCGACGAGGACGAGCCCGACTTCCTGACGACGCAGGAGCTGTTCAAACGCGTGCGGAGCGTGCTGAACAAACTGACGCCGCAGATGTTCCAGCCGCTGATGAAGCAGGTGACCGAGCTCGCCATCGACACAGAGGAGCGTCTGAAGGGAGTCATCGACCTCATCTTCGAGAAGGCCATCTCTGAGCCCAACTTCTCCGTCGCCTACGCCAACATGTGCCGCTGCCTGATGGGGGTGAGTGTGAGCCAAACGCAGCTCTGCTTTGTAGGGATGCACAATTATGACAAAAATCATAATTGTCGATTATTCCCTTGACATTGTAATTGCGATTATTAATTACGATTATCACAATTTACATTGAATGATGTTTATACCATTGTTTGATGCAACTGCATGCCGTATTTTTATATGAGAATAAACGAGCTGAAAACACTCTAACTGAAAAACTCATCCATAATTGTAATCGCGATTAGAAATTTGATTAATTGAGGATGGAGGGATGCACCGAATGTTCGGCAACCGAAATTATTCGGCCGAAAATAGCAAAAAAAAGCTCTTTCAGTGGTCAGCCGAATAAATTGTACCGAACAATTGCGTGACGCGACTAAATAGAGGCGCACACTAATGCAGCAAACATGTCAGCAGTGTGGAAGCATTTAAAAGTGTCCGAGAAAAATGCGAAAATCATTACAAGTGAGAGACTGCTTAGCACTGTGAGGAAAATCTGCACTGAAACAGTGTTACTCGTCAGCTGCTCAGTTACATTTTTATGCATTTTTTTTAAAGGCATGTGACAATGCGATACGTGCGACAGACGTCATTTATAAATCTGCTGTCGTCAACAAAAAGAAGCACTGAGATCTTCCTGCGGGTTTCTGCCAAAATAAAAGCTGAGCAAGAACTCCATCAACATTCATAAATGTTACTATTGGAATTTTACTGTTGTTCTATGAAATAAAATTAAAAAGTAAGACAATAATAATGATAATAATAATTACAACAGCTCTATTTCATTTCTGGGTTTGTACAACCGTTTGAGAGAGAAATTCAAGCATTTTTCAATGACTTTAAAGTATTTCACACAACTATTTCCAGCACTTTAAAGCTCTAAAAATTATCAAATTTAAGTGTTGTTTTTAATGGGATGACCAAAATATACTGTGTGGTAAACACTAGAGCCCGACCGATATGGGTTTTTTGGGGCCGATACCGATATTAGGGAGTAAAAAAGACGGATACCGATATATCGGCCGATATTCTTTGTGTAGGCTATATAACAGTACAGTATAGTCAAAAGTTTGGAAACACTTCCCATTCGTGTGTCCAAAATTTTGACTGGTACTGGATATAGAATACAGTATATAGCCTACATAAACCGAATATATATACATAAACACATTTTTTGCAATGATAACTCAAATGTGGTGATCAAACGCTTATAATGATGTGACAAACATAGGCCTATGTAGTGGAGGCAGGGTGTTTAACAATTTAACAATAAACTTTATTATTCAAAATGAGACTGACATCAGTGCACTTAACAGTAAACTTTACTTCACTTGTTATAAATAACTTAACACAAATAGAACAAAATATATATATAACTTGAATTAAGAAATTAAACAAGGTAACTGTGTAGGGCAAGCAAGCTACTGCCAAACCAACAGGGGCAGGTTTATGCAGGAAGCACAGCTTTTCCAAATGTAAACATCTAAAATGATTAATTAATAATAATGAATAATATTTTTTCACAAATTCTGTGTTGTGTATTTTCTGGTAATCTAATGAACATGCAGAACATGAGGATTCGTATTTAAATAAATATTTTTGCAGTTTAATATTCACAGACACAGTATATATATATATATGTACTGACCTGTTTTTTATTTATTCATCAAAAATAAGACAAATTCCATGAAATTCCGCATTATACAGTAAATTCCGTTTTTATGACTAGATCAGCTCTAGTCTCTAACGTCACTGAATCTGCTGTTAAAATTGAACAATACATCATATCGTCATGCAAAACTAAGAATTAGAATCATTGTAATGTGACGATCAAATATAGGTGTGGGTGGGTGGCGGGCGGATAATTTGAAGCAGCGGACTCCGCGCATTTCTACACTACACTGACCTGGGTCCAGTAGCAAACAATGGAGCACGCTCTGCTGGACAAACTAAGTAATTACACCATTCAGAAGCATTTAATCTGCGTTATATGTTCTGTAAAAAAAAAATTCATATCGGCGGCATATTCGCCGATACCGATATATCTGCGACAGGCTCATATCGGCCGATAATATCGGCAAAACGATATATCAGTCGGGCTCTAGTAAACACACTTATTTAAAATAAAAATTTTTAAAAAGACATCAAATTACCACTATAACCAGTAGATGGCAGCAGAGGAGCTCTTATTGGCTTATTAGTCATTCATTTCCACTTTTTTTTATTCATATTTTGATATTATAAAATCACTATTATAAATTATCAAATCACCAAGAAATCAGATTAACTGACTAACTTTTGTTCAATTTGCAACAGCATTCCTTTGAATATCGCTAAAGTTGTCAGCCAGTTCAATATAATAGGCTACTATAAAAGAATAGGAGGGGGGGCGTCGATCAATTCGGCGTCGATTCAATTCAAACACCAACAAAATGCAACGTCAAAATAGAACTTTTATTAACAAAACGAATAACAATACACCATGCTATATGCCTAATATAAAAGAACAAATTACTTAGGCTACACAAAGGTATGCAAAACTGAAAATCAGCAAACACTGCGAAACCAAATAAATAAGAAACGTTTATTAGCAAAACGAATAAGAAAGCTTGGAGGCATGGCATACACCTTGATGGAAAATAAAATAGCCTACACAAAGTTTAAATAAAGTAAAAATCATCAAACACAAG